CCTGAGAGCCCTGGTGCCCTCACCTGGAATGTCACCTCCTGGGGGGGACACCTCCCCGCTAGCACCAGCCTGGGGCTGGACCTCTCCTGGCCACGTGACTAAGTAACTCCTGGAAGGAGCTCCATGCTTGCTGCCCTGCCTCACTGCAAACGCCACAGGCGCGGGAGGTGGGGTGTTGTGGGTGCCGGGTCATGGCTGGTGAGGATGCTCAGCCTGTGGCCGTCCAGTGCGCACAGCCCCTCACCTGCATGCTGCCGAAGAGGGCATGGATGGCGGCCTCCTCCTCCGCCGCGCTGCGCCGCACCTCCTCCACCATCGCCTGCAGCCGCGCGATGGCCTCGCGTGTGGCCGTCTGCAGGGCCTTCACGGCCTGGGAACAGGGCGGCCTCAGCCTAGCAGGCGCGCATATCCCCGGGCCCCGGGGCGCCGGGGACCCCGCGCTCACCAGCACCGCCTGCTCCAGCCGCTCGCAGCCCTGCACGTAGGCTGACTCGAGGTCCACGCAGTGCGCCCGGCTCTCCCTGCGGGGAGCCCGCGCGTGAGCCCCGCTCCCGGCCGCCCTCCTGCCCCCTCACCTCCCGCTCTCTCTACCCACCCCTGCATGTCCCGGAAGCAGCGGATGCACAGCAGCGACTTCTTGTCGGTGGAGAACATGATGTAGGGCTCCGCGTGCAGCGCTGCGGCGGGGGCGGTGGTGAGGGCTCCGGGCAGGGCCACCCCGGCCTCGGGCCCCCACCCGGCACGCCGCACTCACTGCACTTCTGGAGCACGTCGCGGCTGCGCTGGCCCAGGGCCACGATGTCGTGGCGCGCGAACATGCGTGCCCGGTGCGTTTCATCGCGGCAGCGCGCGCACAGCGGCTGCCCGCACGTGTTGCAGAAGTACGTGGTCTCTGCATCCTGAGGACGGAGGACCGAGCGCAGCCTCAGCCTGCCCACGGCCTGGGGAGCCTGAGCCCGCGCCTGTCACTGAGCGCATCAGTCTCAGCCTGGGGCAGGCACGCGGCTACGTGCAGCCCTTTCGTGTGATCCTGACGCTCTAATATACCCAGTTTACAGATGAGAAGAGACAGTGAAGGGGGGGTGGGGCGTGGCAGAAACATTCTCCCTACAACAAAATTTCAAACCTGAAGGCTTTTCAAGCCCTCCTTGGCACCCTCAATAGTGGCGAAATGACAGTGCCCACCCTGGGCATCTGGAGTCACCACGAGGCTGGGAGAGGAAAGGGGATGAGGGCCAGCTGGTCCCCCTTCCCTAGGCCAGAGCCGGGGCTGAGAGTCCAGGTCTTGGGCTGCAGCTGTGGCTTTGACCCCAGCAATGGCTATGAAAGCACAGACCCCAACTCCCTACTTTGGCATTCAAGGCCATTTCCTCCCCTGGTCTCCCTGCCTCCAGCCCCTAACCTCCTGCTGGTCATCTCTCTACTGCTGGAGCTCACCTATCCCAGTACTAGCCCAGCACACCCAGAGCTTTTGATCCTGCAGGGCTGTCCTCCTGGGACTTGGGGTACCCCCCCCACCCACACAGCTTCCACAGGTCAGAGTCCCATGTGTCCTTCACAGCCCAGCCTGAAGCCTAGCCTCTGCTCCTTTCACAGACTGGGGGAGGGGCCGGGGGGGGCAGGAACACCCCTCCCCACTAGCACATTCTCCTCACTTCCCCTTGGGCTGCAGGTAGCTGCAGACAGCTCCCCGGGTAGCAGTGGGACCTGAAGGACAGGCCAAGCCTGTCACTGGACCGCCCTTCCTGGAGGTCACAACTCCACCCTGAGTTGGGGACCAGTAAGCTCTCCCCAAATCAAATGACTTTAACCTCTGCCACTATCTGCTAATGCTTCAAGTCACTTATTCTGGACCTCAGTCTCCCCACCTGTAAAATGGGGCCCACATTTGGGATCCAGGGTGCCTTAGGTTTGGAGAATCCACTGATGGATAATGGTCTAAGGACATGTTGGGCGCACACTGGGAGCATCAGGGCCGTCAAACCTGGCACCCTTGGTCCCGGCCCACCCCCAGGCATCCCTGCCTGCTTGCTGCACTCCAGGTCACAGTTGGCACAGTGCACCACCTCCGTGCCATCCCCTGAGCTGTCCACCAGGAACTGCAGCAGCCGATCCACTGGAGGGAGCCCGCTGGGGCCCTTCACCACCGTCTGGTGTCTGTGGAGAAGCTACAGCCAAGATCCAGATGCCCCTTCCCCACAGCTCCCTATCTCCATTCCCACCCCCCACATTCCAGGCTGGAACTAAAAATAGGGCCTGGCATCTGCTATAAATATCTCACCCAGTGCTCACTCTGACCCTGTCCCTCCCTCTGCCCGGTCCTCGGTGAATCCTGGGGGCCCTTGGGGTTGGTGGCAGCCTGGAATGTCAAAGGTGGAAACCTCCCCCTCAACCGCCTCTCATTGCATTGCACAAATTTAGGGACACCACTAGTAACTTGAGCCAACACAACCTGCTTATGTTGACCTAAGACTCAAGGGATCCCCAAAGTGGATTTCTGGGAGTGTTATGACCGCTGTGCCGAGATCCTGTGCGGTAGCAGCACTGCGAGGCGACATGACCTATGTTCTAGCCTCGCTCTTGCCTCCGGACTTTCTATGGAAGGTCTTTGGCCGGTCACTCCAGGTCTCGGTTAACCTGCTCTGTATAATGGGCGGGAGCCCGCGCACTGCGGTGCGGAGAGGTGCGGGCTGGGTGCGGCGCCGCCAGAGCCTTGCCTTCCCTACACCTAGTTCCCCACCCACACGGAGCCAATCTCCCCGAGCGCGGCGGGTGTCTGTTGGGGCTTGGAGGCACTCACTGGCACAGCGGGCAGGCGAGGCGGCCATCGGTGGCGCGGCCGCGCAGGCAGCCGGCGCAGAAGTCGTGGAAGCAGTCCAGCAGGCACGGGCGCTCGAACTGTGCGTGGCACAGCGGGCACACCAGCGGGTGGCCGCTCGCAGCGTCCAGGGCGCCCAGGCCCTCCAGGGGCGCAAAGATAGCTCCCGACATCTTCTGGGAGAGCTCAGGAAGGCGGCGGGGCGTGCCCGGTGCGGTGACCAGACTGCGGAGCCCGCGCCAGCCCCCGCGTCGCCCTCGGCCTCCGCGCGCGGCTCCCTCCTCTCTACCCGGCCCGCACCCGACGGGGCGTCCAGCGGTCGTGGAGCGCTGCGGTTGGGAGCGCCCGGAGCAGGGAGAACGGGCAGGAGGCGTTTGGAGGGGTCCTGTGCGCGCTCCCCGCCTCTCCCTTGCCCCCTTGGTGGCCCTGGAAGGTCAGACCGGGCAATGCGTCCTGTCCACCGTCTAGCCGCCTCTGCTTCCACTTCGCCCACCTCACTCCCTCACTCCCACCGCAGGAATTCCCCTCCGGGTGTCCTCTGGGTGACCTGCAGGCGACACCCCTTCCTCGCCGAGCCGCAGCACGGCTTGGGCACGGCGCTCGCGTCCATCGTTCCCAGGCGGGCGGCTGCGCCTCGCCCCGAGGCTGGAAAAACCCGCGCGGGGCGAAGGTCCGAGGCTCTGACTGGCGCCCGCCCGGGACAACGGAGCCCGGAGCCGCAGCAGCGCCGCGCAGCGCGGGGCCCGAGGACCCTGACTCTGGGCTCCTCGGGGGTGCGGAGGCCCTGGGCTAGACCCGCTCTCTCCGGGCGGACTGGGGCCGGGACGCGAGTGAGTCTGCGGGTCCCTATTTCTTCCACGGCCAACTGGGGGCGCCAGAGAGCAGCGGCCGGCCCTCCGCAGAGCGCCGGGCGGAGAGAGAGGGGGGGGGGGGGGGGTGGGGGGCTGGGATCCCAGGCCTGCCTCTGGCCGGTTGGGGTCTCGCGGCCAAGTCACTGACCTCTCAGAGGTGAAACAGGGCCGGCCTCTCGGTGATGCGCGCGAGTTTAATGAAGTGAAATGCGCCTACTAGGCTTCTAAATAATTAAGGTCCCCACCCCATCACCAGCCGAGTTCCCAATAAGAAGGGCTGGGCTTGGGAGGGGGAGGAAGTTCTGAGCCTTTCCGGCAGGGCTCCCTCTGCTGTTCTTGGCCTGGCCAGTGCTTGTTTATCCCAGTGTTATTTTCTAGAGTGCCTTCCATCTTCAGGTCATTATCTGCCTTCTCTGCACGTGTTATTATGAGTTCTGGGAAAGCAGCCTCTGTCTCTGCCTCTCTTGAAATCAGAGTCAAGCCCAGAGCCTGACCCACAGAAGGTGCTCAATAAAGCCTTACTAATCAGTTAGAAAAAGCTAGGAATTAATATTCAACCTGGGTTTTGAAGGATGAGTAGGTGTTTGACTGGGGAAGAAAGGAAGTGAATTCTAGGGGAAAACCACCTGTTTTCTTAAGGGTCCTCTCTACCCTGAGTTACATTTGTGCTCCAAGCAGCAAGAACCGTAATAACAATGGCTAATGTTGTGGGCCAAGGTACTATTCAAAGTTCTTTTACCTGTATTAATTCACCTAATCCTGAACAATAACCTTAGAAAGTAGAAAATGTTCCCTTAGTAAGTGGCAGAGCTGGTATACAAAACTGACGGGGGCTTTATAAATGAATTATGCAGTAGTTTCCCTCAGGACGGGCAGTAGGAGATGGATGTTCACTCTTGATAAGCAGGCTTATTTAATCCATCCATTCTTGTCTTCATCTGTCACTGAGCAGAGCCATGGGCCATACACATGGGAGGGAACACAGCACAAATAGACAAGTATAATAATGACGGACTGTGCTAAATGCTCCAAAGAAAATTATCAGGATGATGTGAAGGAGTGCAGCTGGGAGGGCACACTAGGTAATCATGGGCAGAGAGGGGCACTGAGCCTGAGACCTTGCAGGACAAGAAGAAATCAGATACAGGAAAAGCCACAAAGAGTTCAAAGCAGAGGGAGCAACAGGTACAAGGCCCCAGAAGCTGGAAAAAATGTCGAGCAAAGTACAGTAGACCAATGTGTGTGGAGACTCAGGAACTCAGGGTTGGGGTAGTGCTGAGGATGGAGGGGTAAGGGGTAAGGAGCATGGGTTTCAGTGTGGGGAGAAGGATGAGGGGTGGAGTGAGGTCATGGGGGTGAGGGTGGTCTACTTGATATTCTAGACTAGAGATATCAAGGAGACCATTGGTTGTATGTGTCAGGAGTCCAGGGAGACTTGGGGGGTTATATTTAAAGGCACGATCTTGGGTCATAACAAAGGTCAAGTGCAGATAAAGATGAGGGGAGCTCTGTGCCCTGCGGCCCTTCAAGTCCAGGGAAGAGGAGGGAGCAGCAAGGAGATGGAGAAGGAGTGGCCAGTGAGGTGGGAAGAGAACCAGGAGAAAGTCCCAGGTCCTGGGGTCCCAAGGAAGAAAGGTCAGCAAGGAGGAGGGAGTGACCTACAGTGTCAGATGCTGCTAAGGAAGCAGGAAGAGGATGGAAACCTGACCCTGGTCCTGAGCAGGGGGACATCACCAGTGACCTTAATGAGAGCTGTCCCCATCACTGGGGCACAAGGGCCTGACCAGAGTGGGTTCAACAGACAATGGGAGGACAGTGCACAGAGGCAACGCTTCCAAGAAAATTGGTGTAAAGAGATTGTCTTAGTTCATTCAGGCTGCTGTAACAAAATACCACAGACTGAGTGGCTTCAACAGCAGAAATTTCTCACAGTTCTGGAGCTGGAAGTCCAAGATCAATGTACAGAAGGATCTGGCTCCTGGTGAGAGCCCAGGGTCTTCTTCATGGCTTGTAAGTCAGCCACCTTCTCACTGTGTCCTCACACAATGGAGAGAGCGAGATCTCAGGTCTACTTTTTTTTTTTTTAAGATTTTATTTATTTATTTGACAGAGAGAGTGCACAAGCAGGGGGGAGGGGCAGAGGGAGAGGGAGAAGCAGGCTCCCCACTGAGCAAGGAGCCCCATGTGGAGCTAGAACTCACCACCTGGAGGTCAAGAGTTGCACGCTCCACCGACTGAGCCAGCCAGGTGCCCCTCAGGTCCTTTCTTTCCCTTATGAGGGTGCCAATCCAATCATGGAGCCCCACCCTCATCTAAACCTAATCAACCACCAAAGGCCCCACCTCCTCATGCCGTCACTTTGGGGATTGGGGCTTCCACTATGAATTTTGGGGGGATGCATTCAGTCCATAGCAGGGAGAAAAAGGGTGGTAACTGATGGGAATGTTAGCAGGTCAAGAGATTGCCTTTCTTTCTTTTTTTTTTTTAAAGATGGGAGATACTAAATAATGGTTAATCCCCAAGTATCGGGCTGGTCTCTGATGGGAACAAGGGCTCTTGTTCCGAGGTAACAGTGGGTGGGGTGGGGTGGGGGTGCATAGATGTTGCTGGGTGGTTAGATGTGGGCGTGTCTGAATACTCTTTTTGGATTGCTTCTTTGTTTCCAAAGAAAGAGCAATGGAGGGGCGCCTGGGTGGCTCAGTTGTTAAGCGTCTGCCTTCGGCTCAGGTCATGATCCCAGGGTCCTGGGATGGAGCCCCGCATTGGGCTCCCTGCTCAGTGGGAAGCCTGCTTCTCCCTCTCCCACTCCCCCTGCTTGTATTCTCTCTCTCTCTCGCTGTCTCTCTCTCTGTCAAGTAAATAAATAAAATCTTAAAAAAAAAGAAAGGAAGAAAGAAATAGCAATGGAAGTCATCAGCTGAGAGGGAGGTTGGGGAAGACGGGCTGGCATTCTGACCAGAGGTGGCAAATAGTCATTTAGGAGAGGACGCTAGGATTGTCAGGCAGCCTCAAGGGCTTGCTGGGGTTGGGAGCTCTATCAGCCAGGAGAAAGTACACCAATTTTTTAATAGAATTTAATGTAAAGGATTGTTAAGTAGGTATAAAGACTGGTAAACTAATTTTTTTTAAAAGATTTTATTTATTTATTTGACAGAGAGAGACACAGCGAGAGAGGGAACATAAGCAGGGGGAGTGGGAGAGGGAGAAGCAGGCCTCCCGCCGAGCAGGGAGCCTGATGAGGGGCTCGATGCGGGGCTTGATGCGGGGCTCGATCCCAGGACTCTGGGTCGTGACCTGAGCTGAAGGCAGACACATAACGACTGAGCCACCCAGGCGCCCCAAGACTGGTAAACTAGTTAATGGAAGGGGTGAACAAGAGCAGTAGCAACCGTAGGAAGCAGCTGCCACGCCTAGGGTGGTTTTATTAAAATGTAGAAGCTTAAAGGAGGGGCCCCAGGGAGCTGGTATCTTGGGGGGGGGTGTGCAGCTGGGTTGGGCTGGGGTCTCTGGGGAGAAAAAAGGAGACTGGTTCTCCAAGTGTTGGAGTAATTGCAAACTGGATTCAACTACTGTTTGTGGAATGTGCCATCCAACGGCCACAACCAGGATGAAGAAGCAAGAGTGGGTGACATTGACAGAAGAGGAACAAACAGGAAGCAAACAGGATGATGCCCCTCCAGCCCCTGCTGAAAGAACAAGAACGGCAGCAGCCGGCAAAGCAGGAATGTGGTTTGCAGGCAAGAATAGCAGGATGGGTTTGGTACTTGGTCACCGGGCACAAAAGGCCTGAGTTTAAGCCTAGACCAGTCAGCATGGTGTGTTTCCTCCAACTCTTGTAAGCCAGGATTGGATTTCTGCCAGATGAGGACATTGCAGCCAGGTGTGTGGAGGACTCATGCAACCGAGTGGTTACAACGAAGGACCCCAGGATGTAACTGGTAAGGACAAGAGGGGGTGAGGATGGGTGGAAAGCAGTCCAGTCAATGGATCGTAGGCCTGGGGATGAAGACCCGGGCTACTCAACTTGTGGTGCATAGAACCCCACCACCAGCAGCATCTTCCGGGAGCTTGTGAGAAATGCAGACTCTCAAGCCACTGAGACCCACTGAATTGGAATCTGCATTTTGAGGAGATCCCCCAGGTGATTCCTGTCTACGTGCCAGCCTGAGAAGCGCAGGCACAAGAACTTTTGGAACTGGGAAACTACAAGGCACGAGCTGGAAAGCTAGGTGGTGACGATCGGAGGGTGGGCGGCTCGTATTTGAGATGGCGAAGGGGTCAAACTGGAGCGTGCACCTGCCTGCAGCAAGGAGGGCTAGCCCTGGGAGATACAGCCCCTGGGTACCTGCTTCAAGGCTGGGCACTTCGGGTAGGAAGCAGCCATAGTGCATCTCGGGCATTAGTACCCCAGGACCAGAAAGGCCTCACCTCCCCAAGTTGGTGGGTTCGATTCCCATTCCACTAGCTGGTGATACATGGTTTCGTGAATTTCCTTATTTCTTTTCTCTTTCCAAAACTTTCAAAAAGTAGAGCGAACCCCTTCATTTCTCTTTGGGCTCGTCCAGTCTAGCTCCCCCCTCCGATCGCAGTGGGACAGGCCACCCGGCCTCCTTCCTCCCCGCCCCTCCTCCCCCGGCCTGCAATAGGACCGGTTTTGCATTCGGGGAAAAGCAATCGCTCCCCGAACGTACAGAACAGAACGAAACGGTGGCGGCCGAGGGGCGTGGCAGAGCGATTGGTACGGCCTGAGCCCTGCGTGCTCTGCCCGCTGCGGGCTCTTTGCGTCTGCGTAGTGCGCCCCCCTCCCTTTCTGCCTCCGCTGCCGCCATGGCGCCCGTGGTTAGTATGGCTCCGCGTGAGGCCTCGGCTCCGGGGCAGGCACGTGGGCTTCGCTGGCCCGGCTCCTGCCCCGCTCGCACGGGACGACGCTCTGCAGAGTCCGGCCGGGGCTGGGCTGGCAGGCCGGCTGGAGCGAACCAGGGCCGCCCCGGGGCCCAGCACGTTGTGGGCGGAGGAGGCCGCGGCCTGGGGCGCGAGAGGAGCCCCGGAGCTCTCGGAGGCCGCGGCTCGGGCTCGGGCCCCTCTCTACGGCCAGCGGGGAGTTGGAGCGCCCAGGCTACGACCTGGGCCGCTGGGAGCCCGGCCGGCGTGAGGCAGCCAGGGTCTGGGCCTGGTTACCTGGGCGGAGGGCGGGGAGGAGGTAGGGGACATGCCACCCTCGGGAGTCGCGCATCCGGGAAGCCTACGGCCGGGACTCGGGGACCGGTGGGAAGGTGGCCTGGCCGGCTTGTTTTCAGAGAGAGGCGTGGGTTTGAGGACCCTCGCAGCGTCCGTGGAGGAATTTAGTTCCTCGGGGCGCACCTGTACGGACCCTCTTTGGTCTAGGGCAAGGCCCAGCTCAATTCAGTTGCAGCCGGGCGGGGATCTGGCCGTGTGGCGCCCTCATGTCACTCCACCTGCAGCTCGCCGTCCTCACAGGTTGCGTCGAGCAAGTCGTATTCCTGCCCCCCCTTCTTTGTTGGGACACCCTTGTTAACATTTTCGGTTCACCTAACTCTTTCTGCCTGAGCAGGTTTTTAATGCCTATGCATTTGTATGCCTTTGGTTTAAAACCTTGATGGAAGGTTTGGAGCCCATTGCGGGCAGGTCTTTTACTAGCTGATTTGTATATGTCGGGGCTAGATCTTACAGCGACCCTTTTGATTGTTACTAGGAACAGACGTCTTGGAAAGAGATCAGTGAAGTTTGCAGTAGCTAAATGTTTGAAAAGTTGACCCAGTCAAATTTTAGATGAAATTCTTTTAAACAGGAAGGGAGACCAGATGTGTTCTTGGGAAAGTCTTTTTAGATTCTGTAAGGCTTTTTAGAGTGGACGCATAGGTGAGTGGGTAAAGTTGTACAGATGCTTTTTTAGTGGTGTTGGAGTTTGTAGAGGGAGAAGACTAATGGAAGCTTTGTGAGAGTAAAGGAACTGGATCCTTGTAGGATGTGCTCAGACTGATGGTTTAAATCAAAACCCAGAAGTTGATAGTGTGTTGTAATTAGAACCTAAGTTTTAGCCTTATCTTGTCCCAACTGGGATAGATGTGTTGGTAGGACATTCGGTTCCCTAGAAGGTAGGTGAGATAGGATTAAGGGAGAACAGCTTAACTGGATCAGGACCCTGAGTCTGGAGAGTTAGGACAAGTATTCATTTCAGATTAAAATTGTTTCAGGTATGCAAGGCATTTGTATGCCTGCCCTAATCCTGGAATAAAGTGAGTGACACTTTGTTTTGGAAGTTTTATGGTAAATAAAAGGAAATGTTCCTTGTATTGTGGTGTGAAAGATAACAGACCTTCATGCCCATAGATTGGAGAGGCTGGAAAGTGTAAATGGGCCAAGAGTGCTAGAATGATGTGCCCTTCAAAAGGGCATGACTCCAGGCCCCGAAGCTTGCAGAACAGTATCTTGGGTATTGCCCCTGGACACTCTTGGGCAGAGCACAGTGTCCGGGCAGGTCTCTTGCTTGGCTACCTGGCGAGGGAGCACAGCTCCACAGGTTTTGCATTTGTATGGGCTTTTCATCTCAGGCATTTTTGGTTTTGTTAACTTTTTGGTGGTTGGGGGAGGGGGGGACTGGTTGTGCCTTCATCTCTTTATCATTTGTGTACCTTCTTAGAAAAAGCTTGTGGCGAAGGGGGGCAAAAAAAAGAAGCAAGTTCTGAAGTTTACCCTTGACTGCACCCACCCTGTAGAAGATGGAATCATGGATGCTGCCAATTTTGTAAGTTACACCCTTGATGCCACTCAGGACAGTAATGAACCTTCTGGGATATTGCTGAGAAAACCTACCTGCCAGAGCACATTTCCGGTCTCAGGCTCATAGGCAGCCTTGCAGTTCTGGCTCTGCACAACCTTGGAACTTGGTCTGGTTATTTGTTTCTAAGTCTAGCTTTCTCTCACGTGTGTCAGTGGTGAGGAGTAAACATCAGTGCTAGAGAACTACCTCAGTTTCTTCTCCCTCTTTCATTTTGTTTCCAAAAATGATTTTACTTACAGGTTCCCAGGGAACAGCAAACTCCACTGGACCCAGTGCCCCCTTTGCACTTGGGTGTGTTTAAGCATAAGCATTGGGCCCTGATCCTCACGGGAGGAGGGCTTGCCTCCCCCAGGCCTGACTGCTGGACAGATGGCAGCATTTCTTTGAGCTTCCCATTTTGTTAGGCATCAGAGCTGCAGTGTTTATGTTAAAATGTCCTGCGTGCTGGCTCGTAATTGGAGCTTGTTTTTTCCACACCCTGCTTGGTACTGATACCTTGCTCCTATATTTGGCCTCATCCCCCAATATTCTTCTATTTCAGTTATATCTAGAAAAATTAACCTCATTTCCACATTTTGACTCTGCAGCGTGGTTTTGGCGGTTGACTCTACCTATTCCGTAGCCACGCCTGGGGGTTCAGACTTCTTGTGCAGAGCCTCCTGACTCCTCATTTGCTCCTCCTTGCCAAGATAATAGCATTAAAACAAGAATAATTTCAGGTGAAAAAACCTAAAGACTCAGCCTATGGCCACTAATTCCATTGAATGGAATTCCAGTAACCTCTTGTGACCCTGTCCCCAGGAAGTCCCCAAATCGGCTCCTTAGTCTCTTCTCTTTGCAGTGACTTCTTATTTTCTCTGGGGCCTCTTTTCCCTCCTAACCTTTGTGGCTTCTTCCAGTTTGTGTCTGTGATGGCCCTGCCCTGGTGTCCTTTCCCTCTGCCTTCTCTACACTCACCTGTATATGTGATTATTTTTCCTTCTAGAAGTTTTTGTAGGATAAAAAACTTGAGTCATTTATGAGTCTCAGATGCAAATGTCAGGATTTCTGACCTAGTCACTCTACCCTGTGCTCAGTTAACATATGGTGTATTGGAAGAATTTTTAATTTTTATTTTGTTTTTTTATTTTTTTTAAAGATTTTATTTATTTATTTGACAGCACGAGCAGGAACACAAGCAGGGGGAGTGAGAGATGGAGAAGCAGGCTTCCCGCCGAGCAGGGAGCCCGATGTGGGGCTCGATTCCCAGGACCCTGGGATCATGACCTGAGCCGAAGGCAGACGCTTAACGACTGAGCCACCCAGGCACCCCTAAATTAAAAAAATACTTATTTTTTAAAGATTTTATGTATTAATTTGAGAGAGAGAGCACAGGCCTGGGGGGAGGGCAGAGGGCGAGAGACAAGCAGACTCCTGCTGAGCCTGGAGCCCCATGCGGGGCTCCATCCCAGGACCCATAGATCATGACCTGAGCAGAAACCAAGGGTAGGATGCTTACCCAACTGAGCCACTCAGGCACCCCAGTGTATTGGAGTTTTTAAAGAGGATTATAGGGGTTTGGGGCTGAAAGGGACTTCATATCATTGCAAGAGCAAGAAAACCAAACATTTCTTTATTTTTATCTTCTTTCTTCTTTTCCATCCTTCCTTCCCTTCCTTCTGCCCGCTCCGGGGTGCCTGGGTGGCTCAGTCATTAAGCGTCTGCCTTCAGGCCAGAACGCTGGGATTGAGCCCCGCATCAGGCTTCTTGCTCAGTGGAAAGCCTGCTTCTCCCTCTCCTACTCCCCCTGCTTACGTTCCCTCTCGCACTCTCTCTCCCTGTCAAATAAATAAATAAAATCTGGAAAAAAAAAAAAAAAGTAGGCTCTATGCCCAGTGTGGGGCTTAAACCTACAGATCCTGAGACCAAGAATTGCATGCTCCACCAATGGAACCAGCCAGGCGCCCCCAGAGTCCTTTTTGACAGAGACCCCTGAAGTCCATGCAGTTGGATGACCCGTCCAGGCTTCCATGGGGGACTAGCATCTCTGGGCTCCTGGACTGCTGTCCTCGTGCTGTGCATGCACAGGGCCCCTGAGCTGATGAAGAGTTTGGGTCTCTGCACGTTTTGCTCCTTGTACCGGGTTGAAGACTCCTTCCTCTGATGGCACTGAGAACAGTGCCTTATACTTCTTAGGTTCAGAAGCTGTAGGTAGTTTCTAACAGTTTGGCCCTAGGTTTCCTGTCTTGTCTTACTTTGGCTTCTCAGTCAAGCCTTTTTATAAAGGCACATTTGACCTCGTGTGTAAGCTGTCAGGTGTGTTCATGCTGGGATGTTTTCATGTTCTACAAGGAGATGAAGGTGAATAGTGCCATTTTCTAATTGTTCTTAGATTTCAGACCTTGTATTAATAGGTGAAGATTGACTATAATTTTTTTAAAAGACTGAACCTTTGAAAAACAACTTTGTTCAGTGTTAGGAGCATAAAAACATACAAGAGTCTAATGAGTGGGTGGAGCTCTCACTTCACTAATTGATTGATTTGACGATTTCCGCAGGAGCAGTTTCTTCAAGAGAGAATCAAAGTGAATGGAAAAGCTGGGAATCTCGGTGGAGGGGTTGTAACAATTGAAAGGAGCAAAAGCAAGATTACTGTAACTTCTGAGGTGCCTTTTTCCAAAAGGTATGGGACAGATGAGTGTGACCTGCCGGCACCCTAGCACTGAGTCCCGCCCCCACCCCACAGGGATACTGCTGCCCCAGAGTCATTCGGGCTTTGCTGCAGCTGTTAATTCCTAGAACGGGGCCCAGTGCAAGGAGGCAGTGAATGAATGAATGTTATGGGGGTTAAAAGCATGCAGTTTTTGATAGTTTTAAAATTTTCGTTTTTCACAGACTAAGGTATTTCAAGCAGTAGAGTTGTTCAGACTTGCTTAGACAGTATTAAAAGTGAGAATATTGCTTCTTTTGTCTCTAGATCACAGTGAGGAGCTGTACTGAAATGTCGTTGGTATATAGTGTTGTATTAGTTTCAGGTGTCCAGCCTAGGCACTGATTCTCTACATTATTCAGTGTTCACCATAGTGTGCTTTCATTTTCAATTCTACTTACTTTCCCTGTAAGTGCTAGTATCATTGGGTGAGGACTCTGAGATCTCAGTTTAGACTGAAGCCATCCTTTTAATTCCTGTGGGCCCGTTTTCTTTCTAAGTCAGAGACCCCAGTTCACTTAGCCTGCGGTATTACACGGTGGTTGTGAGGAATCGGACCTGTTTATACCTGGCTCCTAGCCCAGAGCCAGCATATTCTTAGGAACTTTCAATCAAACTGAATCAAGTAGTGGGAAATTTGAAGGTGGATTAGGACAAATTGAGTATAGTTCAGCCTTTGCTTTTTAGCTTTAATTATTATCCGTCAAGAAGTGACTTCCTATTCTGCCTGGCTCGAGTTCTTTTATTTGTGCAGAAAGAGATCTGATACCATGAGAGACCGGTGCAACCATAGGGTCTCCAGGGCGTACAAAGCCTACAACTCTTTGGGCTTTCGCAGAGCTCATGGGGGAGATGCTGTGATCTTCTGTGACCCGTTTCCATGCTTACTAACCTGGCGTGAGAATGGCTGCTAGCACCCCTTCCGTTTTCACAGATGCATGTTTGTCCCCAGTGTGGGAAGACTGGAGCCTTCGTCTTCATCACTTGCCTTTCTCAGTGACGATAGTTTGACTGTCTTGTAGCATTCTAGGTGTTCCTACTCGAGGACCTTTTCTTGTCTCTGCACTTCTGTAGCTTTTTCCCTAGTTTCTCAACGTTCTTTTATGACAAATTTTAAACCACCTGAAATTAACCACCTTACCTGAATACTATATGGTAGAAATAATAAATGACAGAAAAGAATACTTTTTAGATGGAACGACCAAATTGATTTATTTTTATGTAGGGAAAAGAGGATAGAATTGAACTGAGATCTTCACATCTTTGTGAAGATTGCTTTGTTGACAAGTAACACTGTTGAACAGTATTCATTTCTTGGAGATGGTGAGTCTCTTGGGGTTCATTAATACTTGGGTCCTTGCTAATAGGCCCGTTTGCCTGTGCATCTCCTTTAGTCCCCATAACGGTCGGAAGAGATGGTAAGTATCAGGAGTCTCATTTCATAGAGGGAGAAACTGAGGTTTGGAAAGGTTAATTAGCCCAGCAGTGAGTTGGCTTGGTGTTCTATTCCCTCTTCTCTCTCTCTTTTTTTTTAAAGATTTTATTTATTTATTTGACAGAGACACAGTGAGAGAGGGAACACAAGCAGGGGG